GAGTTTAATTTTTGCAGTCTCTGAAGAATCAACATCTTTATTTCGCGTCCTGTATTCATTTTGCATTTCGTGAATTTTCGTGCTGCCATCTTCGTTTCGTCAGCCATTTTGGGAGTTAATTTCGTATAATGACAGAGCGCACGCCACCACGTAGAAGTTCTCGTTTACTTATGAATTCAAATAAGTCTGCTACCAACGATTCTGTCGCCGATAACGCAGCCAGCGTTGATGTAGTGCAGAATAAGGAAGATAGCACCAGCCAAGAGCAAGACGCTAGCCAGGCGCCTCAAATTCTGAATACACATGTAGCATACACTGCAAATGCCGCCGCAGTACCCGAGTGCCTGGACAATTCGGAACGAGAGGATAGTATTGTTAAAGCTCTTCAGCAACAGATTCTTGCATTGGAGAATAATCTTAAAAACTTTCAGGTAAAATTTACTGAAAGTGAACTTCAGAAGGAAGCGCTAAAGATAGCACTTCAAAATGCCTCAAATTCCGGGAATACAATAGCAGTTTCTGACTCCTTGTCAGTTGCGCCACCTGGTAGTTCAAGTATAACTTATGCAAGGCCCACTGTGTGTTATACCGCATTTCCTGCTGTTGGTCCATATGCCAACAATGCCGGTGTATTTCATTCAGACACACATACTAACAAGGTTCTTGGTTCCCATGCCAGCACACTTGCGGGACCATATGTGCACACAGCCGCTGGGCCATATCCACCAAATCGTATTACGCCTGCCGCCATCAGTGATGGTGCAACCAACACGACTTCTTTTTTGTACGCGACCGCCCAGCCTACGGCCAGCACAATGTGTGGACCGTCTTATGGTCCCACCACCGCTGGAACTTATTCCAGTGTTGCCGTCGCCTCAAGTACGCCTTCATATAATCTTACCGCTGTCGGACACCATGAAAGCGAAGCCTCTGCTACGTCCGCAAGTGCCCCCTCTGCTGCGCATAACGTCGGCGCCAACAATATTACTGCTGTGCCTATGGCTGTCCCTGTCACACATCCGCAATGGTATTTTGCCAATGGTGCGACTTGTCAAGCCGCTAACGTCCCTCAGCAATCAATGAGAATTCCAGAAGTACGATCAACGTCTTTTGCAACGATTCCGAATACATTTTCAACGGGGTATAACCCGTTGGGTGCATACACGCCTGGTTTAACGCATGCAAGTATTGGTAGCCTACCATCAAACGGAGTAATGGTTCTCCGTAAATTACAAGATTTGCCTGAATTTAGTGGCCACGCAGAAGACTGGCCAATATTTTTCACGGCATTTCAGCAGTCCACAAACGCGTACGGGTACAGCAACCTTGAAAACAACCAACGGTTGCAAAAA